AGGTTACTGACAGTCATCATATTAAATACAGTGCTTAAATAATGATACTTTGAACTGAGTGTCAGGTTTACTCCTTTGGAATGAAGACTTTTGATGAATTAGGAGAAGCTTCTTCAATAAGGTCACAGGATCAAAGAGCATTTTCTATGTCCAGCCCTGTGTGGTTACACTTCTACACAACATGTGACCAGCTGACTTGGTTTTGTGGGTTGCTTTTGTGGTTTTGTGCGATGCCTTCCCTCCCCACAGCTGTGCTGAACACATCAATCCATACATCCTGCTCCTTGTAGGGTCAGCAGAGACATCCCAGAGCACAGGCTACTGCAGAAAGACAAAAAAAACATTATGAAGGAAGAAAAAGGAAAAGGGGGGTCATATTCACTCACAGAGTCTCAGCAAACTGGAGGCAGGTTTTTCTCCCCTTCCATTTCACTGTCCCTCAAGCATTAACACGTGTATCACACATACAGATCTGGAGCCCATACAAGGAACTTGCTCGGGTAGGCTTGGACTGTCTGCTGGGCACTTTAACCATTTTAAAAATAGGGATATTTCTGTTTCCTTAGAGGTGGAGGACAAGCCAGCTGTATATGTTGTACACCTGGTGAGACTCGTGTTGTCCCCTGCTTCACTGTCAGTAACCAGGTCCCCAAACCCCACACTGTTAACAGGCAGGTGTGGAGAACTGGCTTGACAATCTGCCACCATCACTGCTACTGGCACTGGCTGGGTTTCTCCTATGCCTGTGTAAAAAGAATCCTCACTGTTTTTCCTTTCCATTGGAAGATGATTGAGAGAATTGGAGAACAGCATTTCACTCTTTGATGTTTTCTTGAGCCCACAGCCTCCTTTCACTGGAGATGAGGCTGATGGAGCTGCCTGAGGGGGGAGAACGTTGCCTCCTGTACTTTTAGAGATGGATCTGTTGCCTCCAGCAGACCAATGGGAAATCTCCAGAGGAGCCCAACAATCCCAAAGGGCAGCCCGGAGATGAGAGCAGAAAATTACATGGTATACTCAGTAGCATTCCTAAAACTTACTATTTGCTTTACAAGAGTGATTGCTGCTGCTTTCATTATATAAGGAATCATTTTATAGGCCACCATTTTTAGTTCAACTATTGCTGGGAATCAGACACCAGAGAAATTCTGTACTTTCTGAGAAAAAGTCATCCTTGTTCTCGTGGGTACTCTCCTTCCGCCTCTGCAGTTACCTACACAGGCAGGCTAGGAGGTCTGGGACTTTACTGAGAACCATAAAACATCTGTTTTGACTTTCTGTCTCTCTGGCTTATGTGTGAATGCAGTTACGCCCCTGTGCAGTGAGAGCATCACAAATATGAGCAGTAAATGACTGTAGTATTCTACTTATTTAAGGATTGGTGCCCTACCCATAGTAAGTTGAGTTAAAGGCTCACTTTATTCCTTGAACTTGGTTAGTCTATTTCCTCTTCTCTCCTAACACAAATGTATTACAGATTGTTGGAAGGAATCTCGAGCTTTTGCATGGTAGAAATTCTGACAAACTTAGGAAAATGTTAAAAATTAAAGCTAAGAAACCATGAAACCCATACGGGTGTAAAACAAGAAATTAATAAAATACTAACGTGGCTAAACTGTTCTTCCTATCTGTGGTGATGTAAGTCTGGACTGTGGTCTGCTATTAGACATGACTGTCACGGCAGATGCTTGCAGTTTCTTGATAATATTGCAGTAGTCTTTCCCTTTCTCCCCTCTGGCTCAGGCTGAGGATAAACTACAGTGGGGTGCTGAATGATGCTGACAACTGCACAGCAGCTGTGACTGTGTGGCTACCGCCTTTGGTTGGCCGTTGTCACACCATAGGACACTGGGTCAGGAATGAGCCTCTTGAGATCTACAGCCTACAGCAATCAGTGTGCCAGGCATGCAGCTGGAGCAGTGAGAGGCGAGAAGGGCAGGGAGAAGTGGGAGTATGTCTGCACAGAGTAGATTCAAAGGGGGGAGGTATCACAGCATGGAGCGGTGTAGAAGCTACATGCCAGCACTGACTGAGGGGATAGGAGCCAGGAGGAACTTCTGTATGGACCTCCTCCTTTTTTATGACTACTACTGAAATTGTAAAAATGCAGTTTATAATCAAGTCACTTATTTATTTGCTCTTCTTAGGTTGCAGAGAAACCAAGATCTGGCTCATCAAAATAATTCCTGCCCAAATTATATAAGGTGATTATACTAGAACTGAAGATGTTCCAGGCATGTGGCATTTTAAAATGATGCAGAAAGGAAAAAGAAAAGGATAAAAGGGAAAAGGGGAAAAGGGAAAAGGGAAAAGGGAAAAGGGAAAAGGGAAAAGGGAAAAGGGAAAAGACAGAGGCAGAGGGAAAGGAGAAGGGAGAAGGAGAAGGGAGAAGGAGAAGGAGAAGGAGAAGGAGAAGGAGAAGGAGAAGGAGAAGGAGAAGGAGAAGGAGAAGGAGAAGGAGAAGGAGAAGGAGAAGGAGAAGGAGGAGGAGAAGGAGGAGGAGGAGGAGAAGGAGGAGGAGGAGGAGGAGGAGGAGGAGGAGAAGGAGGAGGAGGAGGAGAAGGAGGAGAGGAAGAGGAGAGGAAGAGGAAGAGGAAAAAGGGTTTTTTGACAGTATGCTTAAACCTGAAAAAATGTCATGCTCATCTTTGCCTGCTGGTGATGTATCAGCTGCCTCTCGTGTCTCTGGAACAAGCATTTGTGAGCAGCACTGAAACTGGTGAGATTGCAAATCCAGCACAGTGTGTAGAGTGTTAGATATTTCCATTGCATTTGTTAAGTTTTCCTATGTGCAACATCTCTGCAGGCCTGCACAAGGCAAGCTTTCATCTTCAACTAGCTTTCTCCCCCACACTTTGACGATGAGGTCACAGCCATGCTGCACTGTGCAGAAGTTTTAAAACTTTCCTTGACTCCCCACAGGGGCAATTTCTGCAGGAAAAATAAATAAATAAATAAATAAAAAGGCTTCCACCTGCATTTCCTGCCTTAACTTTGCTTCAGAGCCCACCTCCTACTCTGTCCTAGACAAATGTTTTTCTTCCTTTCCCCGTCTCTCTTACTATGTCAGGGATGGCTTCTCATGTCCTCTCCTGCCCCTGCTGTGCCTGTTGTTAGCTGTTGCCTGCTGTTTTTCCCTATCTGCTGATGCCCTAAGAGAGGCAGTGAATAGGCTCCCTGTGCAACAGAGGAATCAGAGGAATCACAGGCTGAATGCCAGCCATTTGGGCCTGTGCACAATGGCAGCAGTAGTCTGGTGGTCACTTGAAAACAAGGCCACATATAAAGGGATTGGATAAAGGTCTCAATAAAGTCTTATGGAAGCAAGTGTTGTCAGTACTTAATGGACACTCTAGAGTGGTGAGCGACAGTAATGAAACATCAAATAGAGATGCAATAAAAACATTAGATGAATCACTCTGTGATCATACTTCTAGTCTCAAAATATTATGTTGATAATAGTTTCGTACTGATGATGTCTAGGATACCTCAGCTGGTCCTGGCACCTCTCTCAATTGTGTCTGCAAGTATTAGACTTCTATTTTGCTGTGAGTCTACAGTTTTTTTTCCTTGTAAAATGGCCCATATTGCTTGTCAGATGAGTTATTACCCAAAGCGGCTCCTTAGAATCATAAAATCATAGAATCGTGTAGATTGAAAAAGACCTTTGAGATTATCAAGTCCAACTATCTCTTTATTTGGAGTGAACAAGTAGAGCTTCACTGAGTAAAGAAAGAGACAAATACGAATCTCTATTTTCTATAGATCTGGGCCATTTATACCTCCATCCACTTACACAGAATCACAAACTCATAGAATCATAGAATGGCTTGAGTTGGAAGGGACTTAAAAGCCCATCCAGTTCTAACCCCTTGATATGAGCCAGGTTGCCACCCACTAGATCAGGCTGCCCATCCAACCTGACCTTGGATATCTCACAGATTTGGTATTCACAACTTCTCTGAGCAGCCTGTTCCAGAGCCTTACAACCTTCAAAGAATTTTCTCCTAACATCTATCCTAAATCTCCCTTCTTTTGGTTTTAAACCATTACCCCTTGTCCTGTCACTAAAACTCCCTGATGGAGAGTCTCTCTCTGTTTCTCAACCCTGCACTATGATTAATCCACAAAAACCCTTATAGGAATAGTCTTGTACTATTGCACCATCAATGCTCAGGAGATTATTGAAGGCACTGAATAGGGTCTTGTTGTATAAGCTCTCTCTTAACCACCTCTGGAGAACAATTCGTCCCACTCTGTACTGGACCAGTATAAAAGTAAAGCACCTACATTTGGGTCTGTGCCTGATCTATTTACCTTCTATGGTCAATGGTGAGAAACAGGCACTTCTAGGTCATGATTCATCTTGTCTAAATGCAGGCATCAAGAATAATTAGGTGAATCACACTCTAAAAACTGCTTATTTCTCTCCACTATAGTAGAAATTTATAACACGAGGCCAAGGTAATTAGCTTATATATAGAGATCTACTCTGTAAAGGTCTCCAGGGAGGTGAGATGAACCTTTCTGCAGGTCTAAAGTAGGTGTGATGAATTGTCCTCTGGAGCATCTCGTCCCTCTTCTTTAATCAGAAAAGAAGTCAAAGCTAGGTATCTAACTTAGATTGGGCACTTTACTTCTAAGTTACTAAAATTAAATGAAATTACTCCCATCCTGAATCTGTATCTGCCACTAACAAGCAATTATTTTTTGCTGAAATTGATGGGCTGTTCTCTAAAAGAGACATTAAGAATTCAGGAGATAAATGCAGAAAAAACATCTGAGAAATTTACTCTTTTTCAGTATTTTATTTCACATTTTTATTTTAATTTTTAAGGGGGGTTGCTTGTTTGTTATGATGATGTGTAACTCTAAAACACAGAACAGATAAATTCTCCTTTGGCATTGGCAGTGAGAGCCTGAGTACTTTGACTGAGGAGAGGTTCTGCCTGCCTGGTTATGGGCAGATTTGGACTCTCTCTGCATAGCATCAGTCTTTTCTATTTCAAGTTCTTGTGTGTCCAAAACTTGAGGAGTGAGAAGATCGCATGCTGGAAGCTATCTCCTGCCACTACGTAGAGCAACAAATTTCCAAACGTATTTAATGCTGCTAAAGGTTTAGTTAGAATAAATATAAAAAGGATGATATTCTTGAGATCGCAGCTAGTCACTCGCACGCGAAGCTCAATCCGAATCACCTGAAAGACATGGAAGGGGAGGAAGCACACGTAGAAGACCACCAAGAGGACGATGGCAAGCCTGCGAGCCTTCTGTTTGTAGCAAGCCTGCGTATGGGGCCCTGTGGCCAAGGCTTGAATAATGAGTGCATAGCACAGAGTTACCGTCACCAGGGGCAAGAAGAAGGCAAATATCGTCAGCAGCCAGTTATACCATCGAGTAGTGTCAAGGTCCTCTGCAGAAGACAGGTCTGGGCAGATTGTCCTGTTCTGTGTATGCTTTATGGAGATCAAGGTGCCCAAGGGGCTGATCATTGCCAGGGAAATCATCCAAATTACTGTGCAAGTCGTCACTGCCCATCTCTTCTTCTGAATGAAAAAGCATCTAACTGGGTGGACGACTACAAGAAAGCGGAAGATGCTGAAGCAGCTAAGGAAGATAATGCCGCTGTACATGTTGAAATAGAAGCCAAAGTGAATAAATTTGCACATGAAGTTTCCAAAAATCCAGTCATTTCCATTGGCAGAGTAGTGTATAAAGAAAGGAAGTGTAGCTACATACAGTAGGTCAGTGACAGCCAGGTTTAACATAATGATGGTGCTGCCTTTCCAGGGCCTCATCTTGACAAAGTAAACAAAAATGGTCACAATGTTCCCTGGGAAGCACACCAGGAAGATTAGGCCATAAAAGGCAGAGAGGTAGGATTTCACCTGTAAAAAATTTTCATCCTTGCAACTTGTCGAAGGGTCTGACAGAGCAGTAACATTGTCTGCGTGTTCAGATGCCATGTTTGTAGAAATCTTCTTTAAGCTTTACAAAAATCAGATGTTTATTTTTTAACTTATTGTTAGGATAAATGCATTCGATTACATCTCTTGTCATCGCAGCAAATGTCTTTATGATAGGGTTTAGTAAAGGGGAAGAATAAGGTTTTGTTAACATACACAGATCTGACTAGATCCCCTCCACTCCTAAGTTTGATCTCACCCTTCCACCCACCTTCTGTTGAATTCTGATTAATTCTGTTGAATAATGATTAATTTTATCTTTGCCTTATTTAACCTCCTACATTAAAGATGACAATTGCTGCTTATGTGCAAACCTACAAGGGCAGCAAACACACTTATAGGAAACTAGAGAGAGTTCAGGCTTAGGTTTTGCAAAACTGTGCATTAGTATTAGCCTTTCAGAAAGTGAAACTATACCTATATCTTATATTCATTAATTTGAACTCATCAGTAGACTGTAGCCATGGAATCAGAGACAGCATTCTGCTTTCATGGAAGCCAAAAAATGCTCAGTACGGATACAGATCTCAGGATCCAATGCTCCTGTGACCTGACAGTCATGGTTTGTTCCCTGAATATGGCCATATTCCCCTGGAGTCATCAGAGTATGAAACTGGTAGAAATGCTTTTCAAGAAAAAAAAAAAAAAAGAAAGAAAAAAATTTGATAGTGGCATAAAACTGATTTAAATGACTAAAGACTGTTTCTTAAAGAGCAGAAGAAAGGTGGAAAGCACAGATGGTGTTAAAGGCTCTGATCTTGCTTCCCATTTAGTGCAAATTGGAACTAGATAGACTTATCTCTGAAATAGTTTCTCATCTGCCATGGGCAGTTTGGATCTCTCCACAGTGAATTCAAGATATAACCTTTCTTGATACTGTTTTAACCTGTGAGAATGGTAACCAAGGATGAAATTAACCTCATCTAACTTCAGACATAGAAACGTTAGATGTCTAAACCGGAGCCAGTCATCCTGAAGTCCCCCTTTGCCATCAGGGGAGAGATCTAGTTTCCTCCAGGGCATACTATCTTCCCATAAGAGAAGTTTCAAAGATAAATGATTAACACTTTTGACACACCTGCTTTTCTCCACTGATGACAAAGGCAGCCCAAGGAGACTAGTTCAGACCTGAACATCTAACCTTTAGATGTCTCAGGTGAGACAAGAGGCACGCCCCTGGGGGTCTGCAATGAACAGGGACACCTACAGCAAGATCAGGGTGCTCAGAGCCTCATTTAGCCTGACCTTGAGTATTTCAATGGGGCATCTCCCATCTCTCCAGGTTAGCTCAGGGTATAGCAGCTTCGCTGTCAGAAGAATCTGATAGACTATGAAGCTTGTTTTAAACAAATGCAGATTCACGTTCAGACAAAAGGTAGATATCAAAGTTTTCTCTCTCTTCTGCTGCTTGGTGATACCACTGTCACACAAATTTATGTCTTTAACAATAAGGTATATTTTAAATAAAGCTAGGTAAAACTTCCTAGAATACTTGATTGACCCTTAGTTTAGTATCCTTGTACTGCTGATCTGTACTTCACTGCAATCTTGAACCCTCCAAACTGAAAATGGAGAAATATTGCTTACCTGAAAAACTGCAATTCTGCTTCTAGCTTTTATTGCTGCGAACAAAGAGCACTACAGATGAAATGTATTTACGTCTTCCTTACAGTGAAGCAGTTTTAAATATGGCACAGCAAGTGCAGGTTATAGCATGGCATCAGACACCAGCTTAGCTATCAGCTCTCAGACCTGGGCAGTAGTAGGAGCTGTCTTCTGCCCCCTGTCACTCATGATGTTCTGCTTTCCTAGGACAGATCATGCTTTGCTGGCAGCACTTCCTTGTGCTGAGGTAGCCCTGTAGTATTCAAATAGGAGCAGATCACATTTAAATTAGTATGTATGCATTTATGAAAGAGAAAATTAAATTTATTCTCCATTTCCTGTGAAGTGAAACCCAATCACCAAACAGAATAAGGTGTGTTGCCATTTCAAGGTCAGGTGAAACGTATTACGACATTGTTTCTTAATTAAAAGCAAACGTCTAACAAACTCAAATTTTCAGCTTACGTAAGAAATGAAGATTTCTTTGGGAATGATGTGCTTTACAAGAACTGCGGCATTTTCTGCTTATTTTTGGTGACTAGATTATATGCAATTAGCACGGGCTAGTTATTAATGAGATAGCTGAAGTTGCAAACTTGCTTTCTTTTAAGCCTTTGCTTTCAGGCTTCATGATTCCCAAAAGCTGCAATTTTCCATGCTCCTTGAACCAAAAGACTGTTCTTGAATAAAAACCTCATTACCATCCTTAGCTCGAGGAACAAGATCAAAAGAGATTATTAAAAAAATACAAAATCATAGTACCTTGCATTTTGAAACTGCAGGCTTCAGTCCCTGACCTCATAGCCTGGTCTATGTGTAGAGGCCCCGGCTGCCTAGCAGCCTCATGGCCTTGTTACAATTTATAAGTCCTATTCAGCAATAAGGTATACGTTTTACTATTAAGAGAGCAAGATTCCAGTTCTGAACAGTTGGTATGTTAGTGTAGTTGCAGAGAACCACTTAGATAAGAATATTTTTTAGGAAGACCACCGTAACTCTGCTTGGATGCCTACACCATAGGCATGAGTTGGGAAAATGTTATTTGTTTTGTTAATCATGCTGTAGGGAAAGAGTGATAATGGGCACAATTAAGACTGGAAGCATCTAACAATCTGTTACCACTAGGGGAAGGGCATCACCTCTGTTCTCACTCAAACAGAGCATTTCTCTAGGTCAATGGCTAGAGCACTTTTAAAAAACATCCAAAGTTTCTCAATCACTGTAAAATACATTGTCATGTAGCAGCTCAGGGATCAGCAACAGCTATTACCGTGTTCCCAGTCACTGCATGTGTCATTAGAAATCATTTGTATGAGGCTGTAGTGTTAGAAGCACAGAGGGAGCTAATTATAGTTAGGGATCATTTAATGTATCTGCTACTTAATCCATTACACTTCTGTGCAGCAGGGGCTGGGATTTATCCCACCTTAGTGGTGGTGGTGCCTTACTGGAAGCAAAAATGGACTTTCACAGCACCATGTCTGTAACTGCCAGGGATCCAGGGCACCATGGTTTTGAAACTGGGGTCACCTCCAAGTATCTGACTTGGGCAGGAAAAGAGAACAAAACCTCTATTTTCAGACTTGTTTCAAGAAGAGGGTAATACATGGCCATTTAGAGCAGCTCTGCATGAAGACCAAGCAGTACTCCATAACATACCCAAATCTTCTCTCATCTCTGGCTTAAAGAGACCATGCTGGCTCCTACCTGCCTCAGACCTTGCCTGAACCTTCACCAGAGTTCAATAAGCTCCTCTTTGCACATAAACTTTTTGAAACGTTGCTTTAATTCACAGCCATCCATTGGTCAAGAGCCTTGTATCAGACTTGGAAAACTATGGACAAACCAGGAAGTTCATGTATTTGGAGCACACAGTCTGCTACAGAAAGTCTAGAATACAGAAGTAGAGAGTAAATTCCAATGTCTTTATTTTGCTTTGTCATGTTAAATCACTTGTGGCTAATTGCCTCCACGTGGGCTGGCCATTAACTTCTGCAGCCACAGGGGCAGAGGAGATCATACAGGGATTTTTGTGGACTCTCAGCATCACAGCCAAGTTGAAGTGTTATTCTGACTTGTAGATGTGAGGGTCAACAAGCTGTCCCTCAGGCTCAGAGGCCACTCTCATATCATGAAATCTGATCTAAAATTGATGAATGTAAGTGAAAGACTTCTGTCAGTGGTACTAGGCTTAGGGTCAGGCCTTCAGACACGGATGTGCATGGTGTAGCACAGTAGGAATAATAAGGATGGCTCTGACTGATGGCTGTATAGGAAAATAGGCAGTTTGCTGGGCAACTGCTAGGCTCCAGAGTGTTAAGAGTGTTCCATTATACATTTTACTTTTCATTCAGCAAACATATAATCTTTCCATGGGCTATTTCCCTTAGCAAGCATGCATTTGTTTGTCTGGTCTTACCCTGTATGTGATTGAATACCTAATTATAGTTGTTATCAGGACACCGTCGAGAAACGCTCTGTTCTGTTGAGAATGGTACCATGAGTCTTCATCACACAGGAAAGCCAGCTCCTGTTTCCCCTTCACATTTCTCCTCTGGGACAGAGTGGTAAGGGCAGCATTTTTTAATCCCCAAATGCATGTTAAATTTCAATTAATCACTGCTAAATGCTGCCATCCAATTATGGTAGGTAATAGAGACTGTTAATGAAAACTTCTGGAAAGGAATATTTTACCCTCAGAAAACTGCATGTATAATCTGGAATATAAGCAGTGCTACCACATCAGCTGAGCAGAAGTAGTTCGATACAGTTCCAAAAATAGTCTGCATGAATCTGAGGTGCTATTTTATGGCTAATATTAGTCCTTGAAGTGAATCAGTGCTCATTGGCTACAGTGCATAGAAGAAGGAAAAATCTACTGAAGCACTGAACTTTCAGAAGGTGAGCTGCTCTATGGGGAGTGGGCAGAAGAAAGGCAATAGGACAGTTTGCCTGCTTAAAGCCAGTATGTGCTCAGGTACCTTGGTACAGCTTGGGCAAATCCATAAAGTGGTGAATAAAAAACGCTTCAGGAGCACCCAGCTATGAAGCAGTCTTAAACATAGCAGCTGTGCTGGGTAGTTTTCCCTCCAGACACTAAAAGCCAAACTAAACTCATTGGAGATGTGACAATGGTTGTAATTGTTTTAGGTAATGGGACGTTTCCTAAAAATGACCGAACTTAGTTGATCTGAAAACAGGGAGGACCAATTTGCTGGTTGTTATTCTGGTTTTTAATTTAGAGATGAAGCAGGCTCTAAACTCTTGTGGGATAAAATGGGCATCCTTGACTTCCAGTGATGTGTCAGTCGAGGATTCAGCTAAGGGTGCTGATAATGTGGCCTCCAGTGAACAAGCAAGTTTGTAGTCATGGAAGATATATTCTGTTGTGATAC